CAATACAAAAATAATAATCACTCCAATAAGGGAGGAAAAAAGACTACATATAAAAAACAGAAAATCACTCTAGAATCAGAGGAAAAAGGAACCAAAAATAGAAACAACAAAAACTCTCCTATAACTGGAGGTACTATGATATAAAAGGTAAGTAAATAAAAATCACTCCTCACGGAGGAAACAAAAGGCTATGCAAACATAAACTAGGAAGATCTACTAAGATATAAAACTTACAACAAAAAATCTCTCACTTGGAGGAAACCGACAAGAACTGTGGCAATGACTGTGATCCAAAACTGTGAAGACGGCTGGGGTGAACGCACATGAACCAAGACGAACACACTGGCACAAGACAAGGGGAGACACGGACTATTTGAACACATGAGGGTAATGAGGAGCAGGTGAACACAATCGGGAATCAGGGAAGACAATCAGACCGGTGACACATGAGGAAGGGCAAGTGACCTGAAACGAGAGGAGAGTTACTTCTTTCAAAATAAAACAGGAAATGACAAGACAAAAAAAACCCCAAGACAAGACAACCCCACCACGGTGTGACACATGGTTAACATTTTCACCAAAACCTTATCATCTGCTTGAACACTGTTGCTTCGCTAAAGGTTAAAAAGAGGGCGACTGACAGGATCTCCCCATGGTTAAACAGTAACAGCATTAATGAGATCAAGAGAACCTGTTGGGCAGCTGAAATAAAATAGAGTAAAACTAGACTCTCAGTTCACTGTAATATGTATAAAGAAGCCATGACTGTCTATAACAAAGCAGTACACCTGGCAAGAAAAGATTACTTTTGATCTCAGTGAACCCTGTTAAAAAGATGCTGCCATGGGACAATTCACCTGTATTACTTTAACTGAGCTTTGCAGGGCTGTCACTGAGTGTAACTCCTCTACCTCATGTATTGACCCTGTACCAACAGCATTTTTTAAGCGAGTGTTCAACAGTGTTTCAAGTCATGTACTGAACATTTAAGCAATATCACTGAGTATCAGCACAGCTGTGATTTGGCCATAGAGGCCAATAGAGCATAACAATCTCAAGTGTGATTTTGCTTTTATACAACAGTTCTACGAGCGCCATATTAGTTAAATAAGATATTATGGTCTGTTTGTTTAATTCATAATTTATTTGGCAACACCAACACAAATAGTTCTGCAACTGGTACTGGACTGTTGCTAAGCAGCAAATAAACATTTTCCTGACCTGCACAGTGCACACTAGCTTGCTACTTTGTCTACATGTTACCTCAGGTGTGAGCTGAAGTATCCAGGCTTCTTCCCTTCATCCTCTTCTGACGACCACACATCATTTAATTCAAATGTTATTTCTGAAAATATTTTCATCTTTGCAAAGTTTGTTACAATCTAAGATTAGAAAACGATCGTTAATGTAACGCTAATTCGTAGTTAATAGAACTGTGATGCAGAGTGAGTGCAGTGGTTAGAGCTGCTGCTTTACAACTATAGGGTTGTAAGTTCAAAACCTGGCCAAAGGGGCAGCACGGTGGTGCAGTGGTGCAGTGGTTAGCGCTGTCGCCTCACAGCCAGAAGGTTCTGGGTTCGAGTCCCGGCTCGGACGCGGGGTCTTTCTGTGTGGAGTTTGCATGTTCTCCCCTCCTGTGGGTTCTCTCCAGGTACTCCGGCTTCCTCCCACATGCAAATGGGGACTAGGCTAATTGGATACTCCAAACTGACCATAGGTGTGGCTGTGAGAGTGAATGGTTGTCTGTCTCTGTGTGTTTGCCATGCGATGGACAGGCGACCTGTCCAGGGTGTACCCCGCCCGAAAGGATGCTGGGATAGGCTCCAGCCCCCCCGCGACCCTATTAGAGGATAAGCGGTAGAAAATGAATGAATGAAGCAGAGTGATACATGTAGTTAAAAGTCCCAGCGCTGTTATACTCTATATCCCACTCATGAAATGACTCTCATCCAATCAAATTACTTGGTTGGAACTAACTGTTGTATAATATTAATATATCTCTTATATCTACAGCAGCTGTTGTAAACCCTTACTAAAGAAACCCAACTTAGACAGTAATGTTCTGAGCAGCTATAGGCCGATATCCAACCTTCCATTCATTAGTAAAATACTTGAAAAAATAGTTTCAGTGCAGATCAACTCCTTCCTTAAAAGAGTTTCAGTCAGGCTTTAGAACAAACCACAACACTGAAACTGCTCTGACCAAAAATAGTCAGTGACCTCAGATTAAGCTCTGATGAAAATAAGGTCTCAATTCTTGTCCTCTATACCACACCAAGTGGTAGCGTTTCATAGCGTTATATAATTTTTCCACCTTAGAAACAGCTAAAGTACGGCCATTTATAAACCAAAAAGATGCTGGGAGATTGATTCGTGCCTTCATTTCAAGCCGCCTTGATTACTGCAACGCACTTTTTACCGGGCTCCTGAAAAAAAAACACTGACAGACTTCAGCTCATTCAAAACGCTGCAGCTCAGCTGTGAACCAGAACCAAGAGGAGAGAGCACATTAGTTTTAGCTGCTCTGCACGGGCTTCCTGTTACATTTAGAATTGATTTCAAGCTCCTCCTCCTTATATACAAAGGCCTAACTCCCTGGTTAACTATGTACCTACAAGACACAACACTGAGATCATCTGCTGCTGCTTTATTGAAGGTTCCCAGCAACAGCAGTAGGAAAATTGGGGATGCAGCCTTTGTCAAAGCTGTGGAACACACTACCTATAGATATCAGAGCAGCAGCTCACTGAATGTTTTTAAAAGAAAGATAAAAACTTATTTCTCCACTTTAGCCTTTAATTAGCCCTGAAATTTTGCACTTTGAGCCACATTTTTGCACTGCTCAGCACTTCTTTTAAATGTCTGCCTATTTAATGATTTATTATTTTATTCATTATTTAATCTCATTTTACATGAATGTTTTTAATGTTTTCCATTTTAAATCAATGCTTTTAACAATTTTTATGTTCATTTTATTTTTTTTCTTTCATGTAAAGCACTTGGTGCACTTTCTTTGTTTTAAATCACTTTGTGGTACATTTCTTGAATAAAAGATATACAAACAAAATCATTATTATTATTATTATTAGTTTTATTATCTCTAAGGATGAGCCAAGCCACCCTGCGGAGGAACACCATTTCACCATTTCAGTGATCTCTTTCTTTCAGTCACTACCCAGAACTCATGACCATAGGTGAGGGTTGAAACAAATATGGACTGGTAATTTTAGAGCTCCCTCTTCACCATAACTGTCCTGTACAATGTCCACATTACTGCTGGCGCTGCACCGATCCTTCCGTCAATCTTCTGCTCCATCTTACCCTCACTTGTGAACAAAACCCCAAGAAACTTGAACTCCTTCACTTGGGGCATTAACTCACCCCCAACCCATAGGAAGCAGTCCACTGTTTTCCGGCTGAGAACCACAGAATCAGGTGCTGACTGTCATCCCAACTGCTTCATACTCACTGCAAACCATCCCAGTGAGCACTGGAGGTCACATTCTCATGAAGCCAACAAAACCACATCATCCGTGAAAATAAAAATTCTGAGGTGCCCAAACCAGACGCACCCCTCAGCTTGGCTGCGCCTCGAGATCCTGTCCATGAGTATCACCAACAGGATCAGAGACGGGGACAACCATGGTGAGTTTGGAGACGTCCCTCTCTCCAGCAACGCTTTCCAGCTCCTCCAGGAGGATCCCAAGGCGTTCCCAGGCCAGATAGGATATGTAATCCCTCCAGCAAGTTCTGGGTCTACCACAACGCCTCTGCAATGGAGGCCTTGAACACTGCCCACTCAGATTCCATGTCCCCAACCTCCCCCAGGATGCACAAGAAAACAGGGTTTTAATGAGAGCACTGAGACTCCACCAGAACAGTTGTTTTTTATTGACTCATTGGTACTTTGCACTAAATTGTATAAGTCTCACAATTCTTCTTAGTGTTCCTCAAGTGTCAGAAAAACAACAGATGAGCGGTTGGTTTATCTGTTTACTGTGTGCTACATCATTTCCTATGAATAAATCATGTTGGCAATTTGATTCAGGTACAGGAAAGGTAGACTAACAATGCAAACTGTAAAAATGTAAATACATTGCTATTGCTGAAAAAATGCCAACCATTGATAACATCAGAAGATGTAACAAAAACACTCAATTTAAGCCATTTGGCTGCTCATGTGTCCTTCTAATTTAATTCTTCCAATGTCCCCCTCTCAGGTTTAGTGGAGGTGATTCCTTGGTCTGTCTCCAGATTTGTGAATGTATCACGAGGCTGGTTGCCTGAACATGGTCCAGGTGACCTCCATTACTTTGGCCAGATTCCTGCTCTCTGTGACTGTACCTACAGATACATGTACGAATCCAAATACGTGGCCCTGCAGGACATTGACGAGCTCATATTGCCCCAGTCAGTCAACAGGTAGGACTTTATTTATGAGAGTCGACACACATGGAATGAGACAAATGAAATATTTCAATAAAAACACATAGGATAAAATAACACTTTTTTTTATACATATATCAGTGCACATGCAGTTCTGTACATATTGTAGAGAATAGAAAATTTAATAAACACTGACTTGTTAAACATAAGTACTTAAAAGTGTTAAATTTGTTACATTTTGTAAAGTTATAAATAGCTAATGAAAGGACAGTTTTAGTCATTTCAAATGTTTCAAATAGTTTATAGCTTTCTTTTATTTTTTTACTTGTTTGAATGAGAGTGATATAAGTACTTCATATTATGCATACTTATACTTAGTATGTCCTTGTATGCTCATAATTATGTTATAATTACTCATAAATTTTCTATACAAGTTATCTGTACTTCATAGGAGGGGCTACAGGTATTTACAAATCCAGAACTTTAATCATATCTTCTATATCTATATATACTTTCAACTCAGTGTGTTATGGGGCGATATGAAGCATTTATTAATTGTTTTTTATATCATTCTGTTACCAGTTGGTTGGAGTTGTTGCCACTGCTGGAGAACAAATATGGAGCTGACCGCTGTTACATGTTTGAAAATAACGTGTTCCCCATCACCGTCACGCAGCCTCCACCCAACTCCCAAACTCCACCCCCACAGAGCTGGCAGAATGTGTCCGGGGTGAACATCCTGGATCACCTGTACCATGAACCCATCACTGAAGCCACTCACTTCAGCAACTTCAAGATCATTGTCAGCCCCCGTGCTGCGTTCACACCGACCGTCCACGGGCTACTGGACTCAGTGAACGGCTGCAAGTGGGTTGACAGGAATATAGCACGGATGTACCACACAAGGTAGACTTTAGGTTGTGTACTTCCTAATCAGATCATGTGTGTGACTGTACTGTTTTTTTGTGGAGATTATGAGACAGTTCCTGCACATTGTTGGTTCAGGTAGTCGAAAGAAAAACACCCAAATTTGCATTTTCCTCATAGAATGAAGAGGTGAGATCAGATTTGATGCATTTTATGAAACGTATCTATAAATCAGGCACCAGGCTGGAGACACACTGTAATTGTTATGTCTCTGCTTTCTGTCTGTGCAGAGCTGCGAAACAACCCAATCTGAAGCCAGACCAGCTCATCTATGATGGCAGACTGCTGAACTACAACACCCACCTCACACCAGCTGTCAATACTGTGCTCAGAGAGAGTGGACTTCTACCAGAGGGCAGCATACAGTAGCCTCAGTTTGTGTGTGTGCGCGCGCGTGTGTGTGTGTGTGTGTGTGTGTGTGTGTGTGTGTGTGTGTGTGTGTGTGTGTGTGTGTGTGTGTTGACACTGTCTAAAGAAAGAAGCTAAAGAAAGCCTTGTCTATTCAACTAATGGAGAGGATTGATTCCACAGAGCTTTATATTTGAATCATTTATTGGATGTACATGGATCAAAGTGAAAGTGAGTGAGTGAGGATTCACACATTGAGGCTGACAACATGTTGCTTGTTGACTCCCACTTTATTTTTGTAGTAACACATTGGCTCAGAAAGTCCAATTCACTTCATCTTTAGAGGGACATTTTACAGGAAGATTACAGGAAATTTGCTTTTTTTAATACTGTTCAATACTTTTCTTGGGTGAATGATTGAATAGTGATTCATTCTAATTAGACTGATTCAAGGAGAAGGTCTTCAAATGTGTTGTCTATCTCTTGCAAATATACCACCTCAGTTTCAGAGTCAAATTAACTTTCAAATTACACAAATTTATCAAGTATATGAATTAAATCTGATGTACAATCTATATGTCAGGGTAATATGTTTACAAAGAGGGAAATATAAAGATGCACTTGAAACTACTGCTGATTTTTTTTTAAATATTTTAATTGAATTTTGTATTGTAAGTTATTGTGGAGCATCATTGTCTGAAGCAAATCCTTGTATGATAGATACTGGTTTTGGAGCTGAAGACAGTTGTATTTCACACAGTCTGTGTTTAATTAAAGAATTTTGATTTGCACTTTAAACAGGACCCTTGTCATGAATACAGGAGACATCACCCTCATGTAGTTCTTCTTTGCGTTCACTAGAGCGCAGTAAACACTCATGATTCACCAAAAAATTACTGTCAACAGCCATTTCCCCGAGTATCAAGACAGAAACAAGACCAAGCAGCACTTGTAGTGACACCTTTCTAAATAAGACTTCTTTACTCCTCTCTGTGCATTACTATGTATGCAAACGGTTAAACATATACAGGGTGGCATTTGTTAAAGATCTATATTACATGGTGCAAGGATTCAGAATAGTCACTGTTTGATTCTGCATACATGATGGGGATTAAACCAAAATGACTGAGCTGAGATCCACATGATGAAGAGATGTGTTTTTGTCAGAAATTGCAGGAAATCTAAGTTGGAAAATGTTCAGTATCACAGGATCTTTCAGATCAGATTGAAGAATTAAAAAATGTATCTGCTCTGGTCAGAGCTCTGGATTTTAATAAGGAGAGGTGAATGGTTTTGTCAAAAAACTTGTGAAGAAGAAACATCTGTTTTAAGGTAAGAAGGTAAGACATTGTTACTATGTGTGTATGACTCTTTGTTAAATAATACAGAAGTTTATCAGGGTCTGTTGCCACTGTGTGACTGGGTAACAGATATGTAGATAGGTAGATGTGCAGACTGATTACTGAGAATGGAAAATACACCACTTTTACACTGATAATACCAGGTAAAATAAAATACAATGGATCAATAAAACTTATGAATTCCTGCACTGACACATTTTATTATGGCTGGAGACATGTTAGCTGGGTACAGCCCACAGATATCTAGTGTGGCCTGTAGTGCAGGAGGATTTGTTAAAAGTACCAGAGCCATATATAAATATATCTCTAAAATCAATATCTCTAATATTTTCCACCAAGTTGTCTTATTCCTAAATACTGAAAATATCAGTATATATGGTTGACATTGTCAACAATTGGTTTTGTGCCTCCCTGATGTGCATGGAGCATGGCTTGGATACTAACATTCAGATAATAACATTAGGAACATTGCTAAAAATAAAAGTAAAAATGATAAGAAGAAGTAGAATAAATATCTGTATTTTTTCCATTGAATCCTGTGATCACCAAAGAGCAATTACATAATTATTTCAGGAATATTTGAAAGTGTTAAGAGGAAGTTTTATTATATATATTAATTTATCTTTTATGATAATGTTCTTTTCTGTGACCAATAGATAGCAGAAAACAAAGGTGATTTTACATGGAATTATCGGCTCCACACTTGTAATGAATTATACATGATAAAAAAAAATTAAAGAAAAATTCTGACGTCAATTGCCAAACACGAATTTATTGCAGTGTTGCAGTCGCGCCATGTGACCATGAGAGGGCACTGAACATTTATGCTCACAATAGGGTCAACTATACCAAGACATCCGGTAAAAAAAAAAAAATCTTTCAAAATAAAACAATAAAGAGCGACAGGTGTTTTTTGTTCATTTTTTAATGTTCTGCATGTAAATTAACGTGAATGAAACGTTCACAGAAATAGCATTTATTGCTGGGCTATTAAAATACATTACATATAGTGACTGGTCACCTAATTCTCATAACAAGGATATATATTATTTAGGGTTTTAAAATGAACTTCTTTCATTTTAGGAAGTAAAAAAAAATGACATGATACCTTCAAGCCTCAAAATTAATAAAAAATTAATAAAATTATAAAAATAACTGAGAGGAAAAGCAGCAAATCCTTACATCTGGGAAGCTGGAAACATGAATTTTCTGTCAATCAACTAATCATTAAATGTATAATCTAATCGGCTCCAATTCAATATGATGTTGATCATGTTGTTTAATCTAGAACAAACCATTATATTTTATAAGATCTTTATATGTTTTGTGTGCAAAGAATTAAATTTTTAAAGTAACATGTAACTAAAGCTTTCCAGTAGCCTAATTGTAGTGGCGTAAAAAGTAGAATATTCCCCATAGAAATGTATTGGCGCAGAAGTATAAAGTAACAGAAATGGAAATATTCAATTGTAAAAGTACCTGTAATTTGTAGTATGGTAAATCTTCATAGTTACTTTACCACTGATCTTCCTGTGAGATACAGCTGTTGAAAAACCATACACTGTATATAAAAATAAAAAACACACTTTCCTGCTTGGAGTCAGATGGAGAAATCGGTTTTTATTTTTTAAAACTACAAGTCCCAGTGTCAAACTAAACGTACGTCACCGGAAGTTAGACATTTTGGTATAAAAGCATTTCCGCGTCCATTGACGGTCCTTTCCTGTCTACGGCCTTTTGGAAGATGGCGGTGCAAATCTCCAAGAAGAGGAAGGTTAGCACTGTTTTATCTGCGTTTTACTCACAGAGACAGTGACTTTCTCTAGAAATGGGGTCATGTCGGTTAGAATACAAGCGTTTCGTGTTGGCTCCGGAGTTAGTCGAGCTTGTGCACCTCTCGTCCGGAGAGGATTAATCCAGATGCTGCCGGCGCAAAGACCTCCTCATTTGGCTCGCTAACATGGCTCTGTCCACAGCGGCCAGGGCATGAGTTGTAACCCCGGGACCCACAGACATGAGGCCCGGTTAAGACTCTCAGGCGGGTTGTGTACAAGGCAGAATTTACAGACTTTAAACTTTGTAAAATATCACTGCTTGTCTCTTTAAGTGGCTTCACTTCTCCTAATGTGGGTTAGCTGGCGAGCTAGCTTCACAGTCTAAATGAACGGAGACTGAGAAAACTCTACGTAACCTGGGTAAACCGGCAGATATTAGGGCGTTCATTTAATAAACAATCATCAGTAGTGTTTGAATAAAACATGTAAAAGCTGCAAAGGACAATGTAGTGTATTTTAAATGGATATAGGCTGACAGCAGAGTCGATTTTGGGTTTATTGGCGTTCAAAGCACTTTAATTAGACCTTACATGCAGTTCCTGTGTTTTAGGTAAATTAAATTTACTAAACATCCTTGGAACTGGGTACTTCGATCAGTGGTGTTGCATGAGTAGGTTAATAAAAAGTTTGAGTGCACTAACACTTTAATGTGTATTTGTATGTGCCTATACAGAATATCGAAGAAAAATACATTACTCCTGTCATTTTGACTTGTATTTAGTGTCTGTGAAGCATCTCTAGAGTTTGTCATTACAGTCTACAACAGTTTAAGAAGAACATGAGCTGTTCTCCAGGCTTTAACATTACAGCTTTCTACAACTCATTCACAATTTCCCATGAGTCTCATGGTTTTCTTCTAGGTGCCAGTCAGTTGTTTCATTCTGAATCTGACCCTGTTCTCTATCCTCAGTTCGTCTCAGACGGTATCTTCAAGGCCGAGCTGAACGAGTTCCTGACTCGCGAGCTTGCCGAGGATGGCTACTCCGGTGTGGAGGTGCGTGTGACTCCAACCAGGACTGAGATCATCATCCTGGCTACAAGGTCAGTGTCCACACTTTATTAAAGTTGTTATATACAAGTTGTTTGCACTAGCAGAGATGATGCAAGCTGCATGTACTAATGATTTCATGTTCTAATGATGGAAAATTCAGTAACATAAATTCTAACTTGTGTTGCATTTTTGTCAGGCATTTACTTTAGCAGATGACGAGCACATCTGTAAAGATGTTAATATTTTAGGATTATTGTGTATATATTAGGGTCTGGCCTGTAGGTAGCTTTCACATTAATATCCTAGTTGCAGTTATGATTGGGAAGCTGATTTCCATCTGAAAGCTCTGATAGCTCCAACTTTGCAGTAAATAATAAGAGTTCCTGAAAACAAAACAAATAGGAAAACCTCACTTCAGTCAAAGGCTGTAATTAAATTTAAAATAACCCAAATTTAATAAATGTGGCTCTATAACCTCTGCACAGTATTTAGGCCCCTCAACCCCCCCTGATGTGAATGTGACATTAGGACAAAACTGAACCATGAGTATGACAGAACTATACATGGGATGCTGTTGACAGCTAGAATACAGTATAACCCTAAATGTCTGGAATTGTCTTTAGGACCCAGAATGTTCTGGGAGAGAAGGGTCGTCGGATCAGAGAGCTGACCGCTGTGGTCCAGAAGAGGTTTGGTTTCCCCGAGGGCAGCGTGGAGGTAAGATGAATATATTCATGAAGAGAAAAGAATTACAGTATTTTGGTAACAGCAGGATTTAATAGAATATTAACTACTTACTATACTACTAATTTTCAGTTTTTTTTTTTTTTTTAGTTTAGCCATTCAACATTTGACCAATGTTAATAGAGGTAACACCATGCCTAACACTTGACTACAATGAACAGTCTATTACTGGACTGAAATATTGAAAACAACTTATGTTAAGATGAATGCAGGTGCAAAGGCTCCTGAATCTTGATTGTCCTCCCTTCAGTGATGATACGATGACGAGACAGAACAGGACTCAATCTGTGTCTGCTGGTTACTGGTTCGGGTCCACGTTCTGTGGTTCTGCTCCAGTTCCTCAGATCAGGGAGTCTTTCTAAGTGAAGACACAGAGGCATTTGTCTGAGAAGGGTCAAAGCATCAGGAGTGTACTGCACTGCATTTCCTAAAACAGAGTCAACATTCCTGACAGTAGTAGTGATAGTTCCTGTCAACTGCATATTCTTTCTCAGAGCAGGATGTATGTGAACTCAAGGAAAAAGTAAATGTATCAGCAATAGTGGCTCTCTAACTTACTAATGAGTTTAGGAGCCATTTCATAGTTCAGCATTGGCAGCATTCATCATGTTTGACTGAACTGTCTCCCCTCTCTGTTAGCTGTATGCTGAGAAAGTTGCCACTCGTGGTCTGTGTGCCATCGCTCAGGCAGAGTCTCTGCGCTACAAGCTGCTGGGAGGCCTGGCTGTTCGTAGGTAAGCAGTGTTATAAAAGAACAAGGCATAGGTTTAAGTTTTAAAGCCCACACACACACACACACACACACACACACACACACACATAGTAGTAGTAGTAGTAGCTACACCGTAGCTGACTTTCGCTAAAAATGCAAATCCATGTCTGGGCTTAAGGCAGATATGGAGACAGCAAGGACTGATTGGTCCACTTCCCTGGCTGTGTTTTCTTCTACAGCTTTCTGATGAAAGTATGTATATCAAAAGCAAGTATGACTTGTGATTTAATGATCTGGTCAGATGATCAGAAATTCACAACAGACGCTGGCCTCTGTCTCAAGGAGCCTAGTTTTTACTCTCAGGTTGATGTTTGTCCAGTGTCTGAATTTCTGAATTTTAGTCCCTTCAGTGATGAGACGATGACGAGTCGGAACAGAACTCAGTCTGGTTCTGGTGGTTGACTGGTTCAGGTTCACGTTCTGTGGTTCTGGGCCAGTTCCTCAGAGCAGGGAGTTCTTCTTAGTTGAAGACATCGAGGCATTTGTCTGAGAAGGGTTGAACAGTACAAACGCATAGTTTTAGCTGCAAGGTGGTTCTGCTTGCAATAAGTAAAGCACTTCATTAAGCTAAATTTAATAAACCTAAATTTTAAAAAATTAAAACTTGCTTTCATAGTATTCAGTTTACGTTTTGTCATGACATAATTATGCATGTATACATACTTGGAATCCACTGCAACACTGCTGTTAATTCCATATATTAAGTTTAAACCCACCTTGAACTTTGATCTTCCGTCAGTGTAATAAATCTTCTCAACACACACTTGTCCATTTTCTCTGATAGAACAGGTAAACGTTCACTGTAGTTTTTGTGAAATGCTGTATGTTGACACTGTTCTTACCCCTCCACTCTTTCAGGGCATGCTACGGTGTTCTGAGGTTCATCATGGAGAGCGGTGCCAAGGGCTGCGAGGTTGTTGTGTCTGGCAAGCTGAGGGGTCAGAGGGCTAAGTCCATGAAGTTTGTGGACGGCCTGATGATCCACAGCGGAGACCCCGTCAACTATTACGTCGACACAGCTGTCCGCCACGTCCTGCTAAGGCAGGGTGAGTATACCTGGACCAGGGACACAGCAGCAACAAGAAATAACACCTGTTTACTTTGGTGTTGGACATTTGGAGTTACGAGGATGATGTTTTATTGTGGCTCTATTTCAAAGCCTTGCTTTTCTTGGTGTTAATACATGTCATTGGACGTGCTTGTTGGTCATCCTCAGGTGTGCTGGGCATCAAGGTGAAGATCATGCTGCCCTGGGACCCCAGCGGTAAGATTGGACCCAAGAAGCCCCTGCCCGACCACGTCAGCATTGTGGAGCCCAAGGAGGAGACCCTGCCCACCACACCCATGTCTGAGCAGAAGGGGGCCAAGCCAGAGGTGCCCGTCATGCCCCAGGGAGCACCTGTCCCCACAGCATAAAAGGGTAAGAGGCAGCAGAGTCCCATCACCAGCAGGCTGGCTTTATGTGAAGAGGCAGTTACACAAGGACTTTGTCATTTAATTTGTTGTTAACACTGAAGCAGTGTTTTGGTACTGAAATCGAATCCTAATAATTGTTCAGTTAGGATAACAACATTAGTCATTGTCATGGTAACATATTGGCTTAATATGAGATGATGTTTGTGATCTTAAAATGCTCCTAAAACAAATTGAAGCACCAGAGCTGCTTCTGAACAGTTCATTGGCACAGAAGCATTGGCTGAAGCTGAACTGTTTTTGATGATGGTAGTGAACTGGATGTCAATTTACTAAATACTGTAGGCCAGGATAGTGACGTAGGCAGGGCTGGTTAGGTTAACAAATTATTGTGTATCTGTTCACATAATTCGTGGATACGCGTACTGTATTAGTGCAAATGCAGGTCTTAAATAGTTTTAGTCCCTTCAGTGATGAGACGATGACGAGTCGGAACAGAACTCAGTCTGGTTCTGGTGGTTACTGGCTCAGATCCACGTTCTGTGGTTCTGGGCCAGTTCCTCAGAGCAGGGAGTTCTTCTTAGTTGAAGACATCGAGGCATTTGTCTGAGAAGGGTTGAACAGTAAAAACACATTGTTTTAGCTGCTTAAAGAAACTCTGAGGAAAAGTGAATGAAGAGAGTCAGTGTGTGAAGATCTGTCAATAACATGCAAATGCTCTAATCACAACAAAGTGTTTATACTAGCAATAAGTAAAGTGCTATAGATCAAGATAAATTGACCCTTAAAATCCACACCTGTTTTCACAGGATTTACATGAGTTTTGTTCTTCAAATCTAGTATAATTGCTGAGAAGCAACACCTCGGCTGTCAAATCAGTTCTAGCCAGAAATTAAGCAGAAAATGAACCTACATGAACCTGCTGTGATGACATGTTAATCAGTCACACCTCAACTTTGGCTAAAACAAAGGAAAGAAAGAAAACAAAGGTTTTATCCAAGTGCTTGAAGCTTGTTTTTAATTCTGATTTTATTTTTTATTTTTTTTACAGGTTTTCAACTGTTCCACCACATGGAAGCAAGACCCGGTGTTTTTTGTGTACAAAAACAATAAAATCTGGAAAATACACTTTAACATGTTGTGGTCACTTTGTTACACATTGTGTCGAGTCTTGAAAACCCAGGAAAAGTTAAACTAGTCTGATAGTCCACTAAATGTGAAGCAAATTTTTCAGTACTGCGACAGAGCACTAACGTGACAGTCCCCTCAAAGCTCAAAGGTGGTTTTCCACAGGACAATCAAAGTTGTCTCATACCTGAACAACACTGGTCACTGCACAGTTTTTACCAAAAAATAGAATAGAAATACCGTATAAAGATGCTACATAAAAAGTCAGCCAATGAGATGTTTTACTGTACTTTGTCTCTTGGCTTCATGTAGCTTTTTACTGTTGAACCTAATGAGGGAGAATATTCTTCCTACTGTAGAGTTCATCAGCTTTTTTGGTGGACATTTTTTTTTTTTCTAACTGGTCAGCTTTTGGGGTAAGAACTGTTTCTCAATCATGGTATTCATTCATCAAAAGACTTGTTGATAAAGAGATGCATTGATCTATAAAGACTTTCAATATGCAAGGCATCATCAATTTGAGCATTTGTTTCATCTCTGCATCATTATTGTATGACTTTCCTGTGTAAGTCACATTTTTTATGTTGATCAAACTCTAGCATCTTTTAAAACCACAGTTAGAAACTTCTTATATAAATTACACATCTATGAAAGTTCTTTGTGAGTAAAAGACAATAAAGAATACCTCATAAAAATATTCACAGAAAGTTGCAAAGTCAAGATTTAGACTTGGGCTCATCTCATCTGTGATGAATGTGAGCTTAAATATCAGTGCTTCTCCAAAAATAAGTCTTCATTTGTGTGAACGGGAATGTAGCCATGGATGGAGTTGCACAATGGGCTGCACCAGCTGGTTTGTATTTGTTCACATTTTGGAAAATTAAGTTCATGTCATTTTTGTTCTGTACCAGTGGATGTACTCACAACTATAAGTGAATGAATTTGATATTGAAGAAATCTTGAAACCCTCCTGATTTACAAGCTTTTACAATTAAAAGAAGTGATCAAAACATCAAGATAAAATCAAACGCACAGGGTACAACATGAAACCGTGGGTGCTGTGAGTAAATAAAGAATGATCAGTGTGTACAGGTGTGTTTCAGGTGGGTTTGTGTAGCCTTCACGTTGTCTGGTACAATTGTTCAAGTAAACTAGCATGTGATTCTGAAAGTGGTCAAAGATTTTTTTTTTTTTTTTTTTACAACTGAGTGACTCATCTTCTCAGCACTAAAGCATCAGGTCCGGGTTAGGCCACGCCCCCTGGCCTCTGCCTGTTGAGCAGTGTAAAAAGCGCCGAGCTCCCACCTGGCCAAGCTGAAGTCAAGATGAGTCTGCCGGACTACAAATCAGCCGACAAACAGTCTGCACCCGCAGTCCCGGTAAGACAAACATCGTTTTAACGTCGTATTTTTCACATGGAGCAGTGAGAGCTAATAACTAACCTTGTACCTGTACGGGGACTGAACAGGTGGACAGGTGGCTAACCAGCACTGAGGACAAGAATCTTTAACGTGTTCCTGTATAACCAGTTATACACTGCAGATATTTTCACAGTCTTTCCTATTTTGGCAACTTAAAGGTCTTAGTTTGTTTCAGGAGTTAGAAATCCAACCTCGAGGAAACTCCCGAGTGAATCTGATGAGACAGAAGTAAGGAGTTGTCCCTTGAACTAGACACTGGGGTGGACATAAATGAAGTACGTTTACTTGAGTACTGTACTCAAGTATATTTATTTGAGTATCTGTACTTGAGTATTATTTCTTTTGGAAACTTCTGACCTTTACTCCACTGCACTTCAAGACAAATATGACTCCACTACATTTCTATGAAGTACTCTTACTTTGAAGCAGCTTTTAGTCAGTGAATGAATTTTATTTTATTTTGAAAATGTGATAGACCACAAAGAGGCAGAAGATTCTTCACCAGAGACCATGGTCTGATCTGAAGTCCATGTTAGAAGTTTTACAAATAAAGATTCCTTTAGTTTGACATGTTTGCTGTGTTTACCACGACCAAACTCCACCACTTTCTACAAAAACTAGTCGTCCAACTTGTGAAAACATGCTGTTGATGTAACGTTTGTTGATTTCCAGATAAACTTTTAAACCGGCAGCTTGTAGTAGATGCCATTTTCATGCTGTGGTTGGTCAAATGACTCATGGCCATTTCTATAGGCTTTGTAGCATATTCAAGCTTATTTTTTCTACAGGTGAAGAATGTATGTAAAGTCAAATACTCCAGTACTTTAACTCAAGTAAACATTTGACTGAACAACTCTCACTTGTATTGGAGTCATATTTGACCAGGAGGGTTTGGTTTAGTCTTTATTGTATTTCACAAACTTATTGTATTTTTCTTTATGTAAAAAATCACAGCTGTAGTGATGCAGTTTAGCAAAAAATTGTGTATTTTGTAATTAGATTAAATCTGGTACACTTCTAGCCAAAGGCATTCCATTGAGCCATTCTAAATTTAATCAGAATGGCTGATATATTTATTATAATATAATCAATATATTGCCCAGCCATTTTTCAAAATGGCTGCCAGTGACAACTGTTTTAAAATAATTTTTCCCTTCAGCGTTAGATGATATTGAAACTTGAAGATGGCCATGACTAGTATGAAAATTGTAATTATAATAAAGTTGTGAAAACTACTCTGATATGGATGATCTCAGTGTCAGATCACACATTTTTTTATTAGGGCTGCACAATTAATCTAAATATAATTGAAATCACGATATGGCCAAGTGCAGTATCCAAATCACAGGAGCTTACATTTCTTTGATAAAGGTAAGATGTGTCACATTGTTGAGCATTGTTAGCACCATAAGCGTTGCAGTGCTACAGAGATGCCCCGGCCTACAATCATATTCTCCAGATGTGAAGGAACATGTTTGTTTGGTACAAGACCAACAAATATCACAACATCATCATTTTTAATTTTCTTTCAGTGAAAATGAAATGCAAAAACAACCATTTCAACTGAAATCACAAATGCAATATCTGCCAAAATAATGGCAATATGATTTTTCTTTTTTCCATGTCGTGCAGCTCCAGTTTCAATGATGCAGAATTTGACTGAGGAACTTTGACAACTTCCCAAACAAGGTCTATGGTGGGAAAGTCTATTCAGCACTCCACAGTGACAGAGGGCTTGTGCAGTCCAACGCAGCTTCTTTGCACATGCACTGCCTAATACAACCATTCTTACATTTGCTGGAGACAGGTTCATAGCTGGACTGGCCTGTATCTGGTAGACATGTCCAGAAGGGTTCATAATACCCCACACGTCTTCCCTGGTACACTGCTCTCTTAACATGCTCGTCTAAGGGCCTTTGTTGGAGGGATTGACAGGATGTTGTGCCACACAAATAACTTTCCTCTTGTCTTCTGTGCATGTGCTAGTTCACTCACAGGATAATAAACCTCTCGATCTTGACCATGACATCCTGCAGTCATCTGGAGCACAAGAGAATTTCAACAGGGCGTATGTGAGCTCTGAGAGAAGAGCCCACACGGTCTTTCTCTTGTGGCTGACAAAGATTGATACAGCTACAGCTGCAATTTCATGGGCTTGCTAGGTGTCGAATACTGTGACAAATATGACTCTGACTCATGAATGATTTAATCGTGTAAACCTGCCTCTAACTGGGTGTTCCAGGAGTGACACACTTCTGTGATTTTCTGACAAGCAGAGGTATGTCGTCTTATCAACCTAAGCAAATTAATGTGCAGGTGACTCATGCTGCCACCCTTCTTGCAGCTAGTCAGTGCAGTGTGTGTGTGTGTGTGTGTGTGTGTGTGTGTGTGTGTGTGTGTGTGAGTTATGTTTTGTGTAGTTTTCTCACTCACTCTAAGCATCTGAACTAAATTCAAACTCTTCATTTCAGAATGATATAAAACAGACATATAAGCATGTTTGAAACTGTAGCCTTTTGATATTTCCACTAATTTCTCCTTTCTGTCAGTCACCACTTTGAATCATTTGTTGAGGACGACTTTGGCAGCGTTATAATTGAACACTGTGACCAGTTATTAGCAGGCACGTGCAGGGCTGAGTTTTATTTATACATTCTTCATATTAATTAAATTCAGTAATTTATCTAGGGCTGCACAATTAATCAACATCTAATCGAAATCACGATATGGCCAAGTGCAGTATCCAAATCACAGGAGCTTACATTTCTTTGATAAAGGTAAGATGTGTCACATTGTTGAGCATTGTTAGCACCATAAGCGTTGCAGTGCTACAGAGATGCCCCGGCCTACAATCATATTCTCCAGATGTGAAGGAACATGTTTGTTTGGTACAAGACCAACAAATATCACAACATCATCATTTTTAATGTTTTTTTTGTGAAAATGAAATGAAAAAATTACTATTCCAAGTGAAATCGCAATATCTGCCAAAATAATATAATATGATTTGTTTTATTTTTTTTATTTTTGCATATTGAGCAGCTCTAAATTTATCTAATATATCTGATATAGTCCATCTGTTACTAAGAATAGCAATATATCAATCAATAGCTTTTTTTTTCTTTCTTTTTTTTCATTCCTCATTTCACATGAGCAAACATGTTTCGTAAGGATCCATTTACATTACAGATACAGTATGTGCTGAGCAGGACATTGGTTGAAACATAAACTTGCTCTCTGGTGAACAAACTATGTAACATCGACCCTGTTTTTAATCTAGCTTCAACATAACTTTCCCTTTTCATACCTGATGATCGTTTGAGTATTTTTTAAGCAACAATGTCAACAAATATCAGGTCCAGGGTTCTCAAATATAGATATTTGCTGTTTTCTTAGTCTTCTGTCATATTAAATTAAATATCTTTTTTTTTTTTTTTTTTTTTTGGACTGTTGGTCAAACAAAACAAGACATCTGAAGACATCAATTTTATGCTTTGGAAAATAATGCTGGGCGCTTGTTTTTACTGTAACCTCAGGGTCTGCACCTGCTCAGGGTCTCCAGCTACTTGAACTAGCATTGCCACCCCTGCACACAAGACAATCTCCAGATCTCTTCATCTTCACTTCATCGTCGCTCTTCTTCTCTTACCCCAACCGAGGTCGCGAGAAAACCTGGGCATCATGTTTGATGACCGGCTCTCCTTCTCTGACCATGTCTCACCCGTCCCCCTGTCGTGCCGCTTTGCTCAATACAACATAAGAAAAATCACCTGGCCTTACCTGACTCAGTACACCACTCAGCTCCGGGTCCAGACCGTGGCCTCTCGCCTCAACTACTGCAATGCTCTTCGGTGTGAAACCCTTCCAGATGGCCCAGAATGCAGCAGCTCTTAGTACTTACACCATGTTTCTATTAGATTTATTTCATGTGCAACTACAAGTGAAATCTGTATGGTCAGGTCTGGTCATTTCTTCTACAGGACATGTTAAATCTATTTGTTGTTAAAACTATGGAACAACATTTTAACAGTCTCCAGAGCAGCAGAGCTCAAGCTCCGTCCAGGCAGGCAGCGACAGGGAGAAAACACTTCTCTAAATGGAATGAATCTTCTTTTCTCTCAGCACTCTCCTGTTGTGCAGTTAAATGTTGGCGGACACCTGTTCAGCACCGCTCTGAGCACACTGAGGAAACACCCCGACTCCCAGCTGGCTGAGCTGTTCAGCGGACAGCCCAAACTGCGCACTGACGCACAGGGACGCTACTTCATCGACCGCGACGGTTCACACTTTGGAGCTGTCCTCCAGTTCCTGAGGTCAGACCAGCTGCCCGCAGACAACATCCAGCAGGTTTGAGTCCCGAAATCTCTTTCTTTAATAACAGCGTTATCACAATGTACTGTTTGAAGCAATGTGTGTGTGTGTGTGTGTGTGTGTGTGTGTGTGTGTGTGTGTGTGTGTGTGTGTGTGTGTGTGTGTGTGTGTGTGTGTGTGTGTGTTTCTGCAGGTTTACAGGGAGGCAGTGCACTTCAACATCAAACCACTCATCAAACGTTTGGAGGAAACTCCTCAGCTGTTTGGGGAGCTGGTGGGAAGACAGCAGTTCCTCTCCAGAGTCCCCCACTACAAAGAAAACATCGAGGTCAGCCACACCCACAGATGTAGTGACTAGTACTCACCATAAATCACATTTTCATCGTCATCGCGACCTGAACATGTGCGATAAACACGTCACAAAAGACTGAGAGAAATGTGACGGATTAGAAAAAAAAAATCTTTTCATTATAAGAAATACCAAATTGACAGAAAAAACGTTAGCATCAAAGACAAACTGTTACCATAATATAACCATATGACATGGGCTGGAGCCTCTCAGTCTTTTGCGATGTGTTTATTGCAAAACTTTTGTGTTTTTCATTGGTAAATAACAGTGATTGAGCAACAGAAAGAAAACTTTTATATGCAAAAAGTTCCTGAAGCAGTTCACGTGAAATCAGACTCCAGCTGTCTCTGGACTCAGCTGTTGATTCAACTCTGCACTCTGTCTATAGATAGATAGATAGGATGGATGACTTTATTAATCCCCAGAGGGAGATTAAATTGTCATAGCAGCTAAATTAAAATACAGTAACATACAAAGACAAAAGATGGGGGGGGGGGGTTGATGTTTCCTGCGATGCAGAAATGTTTGTCTGTCTGACCGCAGTAATCGCGCTATTCCTCTAGGTCCTGATTCGTATCGCCAGAGCCGAGGCCATCGCCGCCCGCCACTCCACCATCATGATCTGCGTACTGCGGACAGAGGAGGATTTGGGTTTCTATGACAACGCCGTCAACAGCTTGGAGGCAGATAAGGAGTCGGTGGTGACGTTCGGGCCCTGGAAGGCCGTCCCCTCTGTTCAAGACTTGCTGGACTGTGTAAAGACGGACATCGAGAGTAAGGGCTACAAGGTGAACATCCAGCCTCACGTCATTGAGAAGAGCTTCCTGTCCAGGAGCTACAACTTCTTCTACAAACTGGTGTTCACCTGGTGGTGATGAGAAGGCTGCTCTTCTGTTTTTATTCAGAACACTAGTGGAAGATTTGCAAACTGTTTCTGAAAATAACAGGCCGCATCAAGATCAGGCTGCTACAGTTTTTCCAAAATATTTTGAAGTGATGCTGCGTATTTATCCAGCTATTGAAAAAAAGGGGGTCTTGATTTTGAACACCAGCCTTTTTAGACACAAGGGGTCAGTACAGCATCTGTATATAATGAATTTCAAAGATACTGTGGTTTACAGATGTGTTTATATATCCACAATTTCTTACCAACCAACGCACATGTCTTACAATTAATTTTAGGTGCTTATAGATATAAGTGTTGTTTCATAGACTGTGTAATGTCAGTGAAATCATGTTTTACTGTTGCTAAACTTAAATAAATAATAAACTACACGGTTATATCATTTTTTCACTCACAAGGTTTAGAAGCCGGTTGTTTAATCAGGTACCTTTTGTGAACTTGATTAGCTACACATGACTGGACGTATTGATATGAACACTAATAAACAAATAAAACATGAATAAAAAGAATAAATGCAAACAGTAATAACCAATAGACTTTAACACAAGTAACAAATTCCACATGTTTGAAAAGGAGCTGGAAGATGTTGATACGAATAATTTCCTGCCCCCTCTCTACTGATCAGTAAACCTGATTGAATATAATCTGAAATGATTTATCTGGTGATCAAAAACAGCAAATACAGTAATAGCAGCGTCCACCACAAGTGTCACAGTCATGAGAAAAAGCAACGCCCCCTCCTCCTCCTTGTTCCTCTTAAAAACAATAGTTTGTACCTGTTTTTGAACTGATTTATATTCATGCCTTCCCTCCAGTTCTTCATCTCATTCCTTCCACAGATTCAAATCCCAAAATCTGACACACACATATTTTTACGCATGTACACAGTGTTTTTTAAAATTAGATTTACTCTTACATTGTTCCCCCTCTCTCTGTCCAACAACAGTTTTTGTTGCCAGGAAGTACATTATTTCTTTTGTCTTAAATTCCACCAAGTCAATGAACTTGTGATTTTAAAAACAGTTTCTCATGACATCCAACCTTGTTTACACAAATCAACGGCACTGAGTACTTCAGGTAATATCATCCATCTTTAAACCGTCATCATACAGTTATTCACATATTCAAGCTTCAACTTGCAATTACGTTTCATATGAAATAATTCACAGTTCTATAGTAAGTATACCTATTTGGTACCACTTTACAATCAGACTACCCTTATAAAGGATTTATAAATGGATTACAATGAGATTATTAATTCACTTAACGCTTCATAAATCATAAATAAACAATTATAAACAAGTTATAACACAGTTTTCATACATTTATGCAGGCTCACTATTTTGCAAGATCAAGTTAATGCTTACTAGTCATTAAACCTACTAATGACTTACTATTATTTATAACTTGTAAAAGGAGCCTTATTGTAACTCATTAGTAAATGATGGGTTTTACACTTTACAATAAGACTCTCTTTTACCAGTTATAAATAATATTAGGCTAACTCATCAATAAATGGTGATGTGTTTCAGACTTCACAACATGACACCCTTTTACCAGTTATAAATGTTTGTAACTGATAATAAATGTTTGTAAAAATGAGATGAAGAAACATGAAGCCGATGGAGGGAGAGTCACAGAGATGTGAGATGTGAGCAGTTCACCAAGTAAAGGAAGGTTACCACCTGTGTCCTAAAGAAGAGACCAGCCAGCAAAAAGCATGTTAACCTCCACTGTGCAGAACAATCTGATCACACCTGTGATGAAATTATCGAATGTGTTATAACAGCATATAAATGATTTATAAAGTGTTAACAAGCTAATAAATAAAGTAATTATGAACCATTCATGAATCCTTTATAAGGCTAGTCTTAGTGTAAAGTGGTACCATATATTTTATACCAAGGGGAATTCAGTCATTGAGCAAAATACTGCAACATACACACAATGTTGGGAAATCCACAACTCAGATTATGAGAAACATAAAGGCCAAAGAACCACAACGCTGAACAAGTGTGTCAGCAGAAAGCAGCTCAGTGTTCACCAGTTGCCCTACCTTCACAGCAGACCACTTCCTGTGTGATCAGAGTATCAAAATCAACAACAATAAACAGTGGTTACCCTTCAGGCACAAACACTGTCCCGAGGCCACACATTAGAGCAAACTGCGGTCACATCCATCAACTGCCATGAAGTGTTTTGCCGGGGTGTCCTCGAGCAAGGCAGCGAGCCTCCCTCCTGCTCTTTGAGTGTTTGGATGAGAGCAGAGTCTCGGTGTGTGATCATACATGTAAAAATATGCTGACATAATCGAGATTTAAATTTCTTCTGAATTTCAGCCCTTGATTTAATGAGAGCATTTAAATACGACACCGAAACTGTTCACTGAAAACCAGACTGACTTCCAACTTTTCACGGCTGTGATTGATCAACTTGATGTGACAGGAAACATTAGAGCCTTTTAAATAAAATTTTCATTCAATTCATGAACATTTATGAATGATTAGGTACAAACACAATTTCACTGCAGACTTTATTCAGGCTAATATTTGTTAAGTATGCAATCATTTTTTTGAGACTTTGATGCTTCACCCTGAGGGTCTAATTAATAATAACGAGCTCTCCGTTTTTTCTTTTTGAAAAAAATGCTCTTGTTTGGAAATTAGGAAGATTTGACAGATAATTTTTGATCTCCACCAGAAAAAATCAGGCTAATGTCTAAGTTTCCTTCCTTTGTTCAAAGAAATGGACAATATTTTTACCCCAGTGTGTCACAATCACACTTCCTAGAAGCGAGCAAAGTTGCATACTTGCAATTCACACCTTGGATCACATTAGAAGAAAAGCAGCACTGATCAGAGACAAATAAACATGTTTTCAACTTTTATGCAGACTGACACTTTTTGCTTCCAGAACAGTGCCAAAAAAAAAATGCATGTCATATTAATATAGAGCAACATTTGTCCTGGAAAATGAAAGGGAAAGAATGAGGCAGATTGCTTCTGCTGAAAATGAAGAAATATTACATTTTTCAGGGGGAAAATAATAATGAATGTGTAAATTAAAGATGCAATGTTTCTAATGAATCTATTTTCTGATATGTAGAAGGTGTCATAACATGAAGTAGAACATTACCAATCAGCTGTGAGTGATAACTTTTTCTAGGGCTTTCAACCATCTCATGATCTTCATCTGACATCATCATGGGATGTGGTTAAAGTACATAGTAAGTGGGCTTAATGTTTCCAAAGACAGTGCACACCAAGCCTGCACGCTCAGAAAAGCGACAGTGATGTATTGACAGTGATGTAATGAACAGATTTTGAATATTGGAGGTTTATCGGTCGGCACGTGTGCATCCTCTGATAAGCCACACACACTGAATGCTGTATTCTAGCAGGACATGCTACTTCTCAATATGAAATGCAGAATTTTTAATCAATGATTTTTGATATCTGTTTCCCTCATGCCAGTGCAGATGAAGGCTGATGTGTGTGTGTGTGTGCTGTTGGGTGTAGGACAGGAAGTGAGTCGTCTAGAAGGAGCAGTGGCAGAGAGAGAGCGAGAGTCAAACTGAGCTGCTGTAGAGGTGAAAACACAAACATGACTGGCACAAAAAACCTGATCCTGCTGCTCGCCAGTCTGCTTCTGACAGGTAGGGTTTATTTGATGTTGAGTATCAAAAGTACTGGTTACTGCTGCTATAGTTTGAATTACTTTATATACAGTTAGGAAGTTTTGTCCAGTGGTTTTCCAACATAAGGGATGGGTCACCTCCAGAGGCAGAGGGTCACCAGTTAGATCATTAGATGATGAATAGGAGAAAACGCTGCTACATTAATCGGAGTTGATGTTTTGGAAGTCTCTCTAATCTTTGCGGGGTCACAAGCCAAAAGTGTTGAAACCACTGGTTTAATCTCTAGCAATACAAAGTTTTTCATAAGATGATCATATGTTGTTTTTTTTTCAATATAAAAACATGATTTTAAGTAGCAGTCAAATAAATCGTGAAATCAGCAGGAAATGGAGATAATAAACTACAAACTGTTCTTCACAACAGTGTTTGAGTTCATGTTGTTGCTTCTTACTTTCCACCACTGGATTTGGTTTGGTTTCAATTTCTGCTCCTGATATTTGGCCTCAGTCAAAGTCTCACTTGAAGGATTTCTACATTTCTCTTATTCTATAAAACAAACAATCTGTATTTATGAAAACGTCCAACTGCTTTAGGCGGATGATTGTAGCCAAAAGCTTCAGGGCAGGTATGTGCTCCTGGTTTTAGAATACATCTCCTTTACTGTCATTTGAATAACGGATAGCTTTACCTCTTCAGGCCTATAAAAATGAAATTAGAATATTACTCAGTAGAATGCATACCTGAATAAGACTGACTGAATGCCTTTTTATACTTATACCACTTTATACTTTTTATCTGCTGCTACTGTATTTTAACTTTAACTTTAAAGGTAACTTTAACTGTTACCTTGTGCAATAATTCAATGTCCACCACTTGAGCACCTTATTACAACTGTACAATGTCCATTATGTCTATCCATGTTTGTGTTTGTATATTTATATTTATACATTTTTTGAATATGACTGCACATAAAGCTAGGAGAAACGCAGTTTCGTTCTGCTGTGCACTTCTGTTGTCTGAATGACAATAAGCTTCACTTTGACTCCCGCCAAGGCCAAACACTGGCGGAACATCTCACAATCTTAAGGAAAGTTGTATAAAAAAATGAATCCTGTATCTGCCCCTTTAGCCAGATGTACACTATAATGTGATGGGTTCTTCACTGAGCCATGTCCCATCCCCGCTGCAAGTGTGTTCAGATCGGTTCAGTAGGCCTACTTCTTGCGTAACCTGCTGACAAACAAACAAACAAACAAATAAACAAACAAACAAACAAACATCTCCTCTCTTTTAACATTTTATTATTCTGTCTTTTAATCTGTCTTCTTTCCATTTAATCTTTATTTTTATTAGATTTTTAATACCCTACCTTTTATTTCTGGTTTTACTCACTTTAATACATGTCCTCTCTTTTATCTTTATCACTCCAAAGATCTCCATCTTTGCTTTCCAGTCTTCAGTGTTTCCTCAGCGCAAATGTATGAGATTCATGATAGTGTTTCCTTTGTTCCTGTTATCATTGTCTTATTTTATTGTTTTTATTTATCACTTGGTCATCGATTGTTCCGTGTAAATGTGTGTGTGTGTGTGTGTGTGTGTGTGTGTGTGTGTGTGTGTGTGTGTGTGTGTGGCGGGGCTACAACCTATACATATATATATATATATATGTTGTAGCTATAGAAATGTGACTTGACTGTGCGGCTGACTGACTCTTGTGTTTCCAGGTGCGTGGTGTAAAAAAGAAGCGGTGTTTGTGTACAGGAGACTTGGAGGTAGCGCCCTCCTCCCATGTACCAACCTGGTCTCCTCAGACTGCTCCGTCATCACCTGGACCTTCTACAAGGGGGGGCAGGTGCGGTACACCCAGGAGGTCAGCGGGGGCCAGGTGAGGGCAGACTCAGACAAGTCCAGCCGCATGTCCGTCACATCCAACTGCTCTCTCTGCCTCCACGACCTCAGGGTCGACGACGCCGGCTCTTACGTCTGCCTGAAGGATGGAAACGCCATCGCTAACGTTTACCTTTCTGTCCTCACCATCACTGTTCTTTCCAAAATCAGTGACCTGCAGGCTGGAGGAAACCTCACCCTGAGCTGCATCCTCTTCACTTACTATGATGCTGGGAGCTGCAAGGCATACTCCAGCGGGTTCAGCCTCAGCTGGGTGACTGAGGACGGTGCTGTGCTGCCCAAAGACAGCAGGTTGTCAGATCTCCGTCGTATGTCTGTCAATAGTCACTGTGCTACCTTTGTTACATTTATGAGGCAAATTGCTATTTATTTACCTCATTGTTTACTAGTTTTAACAATTGATCTACTATAGAAGAAACAAAAGAATGTAAATGTAATGGAAGAAACAAAAAAGTAACCAATATAGAAATAATAATAATAATAAGAAGAAGAAAAAGAAGAAGAAGAAGAAGAAGAAGAAGAAAGAGAAATAATGCACCCACACATTTGTGAGATAGTTTCATTTATCGTGACAGGTGACCTAATTTAGTCTCAGAACAATAATTCTAACAGGAAACATTAATCAACAATGTCAAAATGACCTAAACGTTATTTCAAATAATGTTACAAAATGGAAAAAATCTACTTGTTTGAAAACGAATTAAAACATTTGCTGTGGAGGCTGATTTCCTCCAGGAAAGAAAACAAAAAGTTAGGAATTATGAAAATAAATAAATAAAAATTGATTGATAAATTTTAAAATAATACAATTTTTGATTTAAAAGGGCAAAAATGTGGCTGCTGCTCAGTTTTCTTAACATTAAAGGACAAGGTATGATGTTATTGATTTACTTGTCAACAAATCCCATGAAAAGATCAAAACCAACGTGTCCATCTGACTCTCAACTGTGTCTGTGGCTCTCAACCCCACCTCCACTGGAACCTATCAAGACCTTTAATCACAAATATAAAGTTGAATTCTTAAAAAAGGCTCAGTAATTTCCTAAAACACCTGGTCGCTGTAGTAATAATCCATGTTTGGTGCTGTAGTGAGTATTTGTGGAACCAGGATGATGTACCAAGTGTGTGATTGTCAAAATAAACTGCTGTGTGTGTTCATGGTGTGTTTCACTGATGTGTTTTAAATCGTGGAGCTCTACGCTTCATTGTTGGTTTGGGTCTGCTCGTGAGGTTTGTTGACAATAAGATATAAAATATCACCCAACTAACAACTCAAAAACAGCAAAAATGTATAAAACATTAACAACTGATGAATGACAGCAACGATTTTCTGATGATCTCCCCTCCGTGCAGGTATGAGCTGATTGGCCGCACCCGTTGCAACATCACTCTGGTCACAATACTCCAGCAGGAAGACAACAACAGGAAGTGGAGGTGTCAGGTGAACACCACAGAAAACGGCAGGGCAGTGTTCCAGGACTTCACATCCGCCTTTTTGTTCCAAAATCCTTCCACAGCCCAGGATCTGAATCTTTCCTCTACCGTGGATTGTCCATTCCAGCTGCCCATCAGCCGCATCGTGCTCTGTGTGGCTCTACCAGTCATGGTGATCATAGTGGGAATCTTCACATGGAGAGGAGACCGTAAGAGGGCCAAAGCATCTGCAGCTGACATCGAGCTCCAGAAAATCGGATGACTGTTGATCACTGTATCTGTCCTTGAGTTGTTTTAAGATTATTATTTTCATATTTTCATTCATAAAGACATATTACAACAACTTTGGCTGAAATAAACCATAAACGTAAATACCAAAAAAAACAAACTACTGCACATTGTCTTTTCTTAATGGCTGCAAGATTTTCATTGCAGTATTTATCAGGCAACAATACAGTTGGTCTATCAAAAGAGCTTAAAATGTACAGATATGATAGTTTGCAAATGTATATATTGTACACGTTATTTTATCGAGCACCTCTCACAGAAACTGGAAAATCAGAACAGAAAAAATAAAGAGGGGGAGTAGTCTGATTCAATAAAGGCAGATTGAATGTGTTCAGTTTATGCACATACAACAGGTACTTAAAGGCAGAATAAACACAAAAATCTGTGAATGGCAGCTGCACTGGGGTGCAACATGGCTTAAGTTTGTAGATTTTCGACAGTTGTGATTCTCACATGGTTTTGTTGGCATTGAGCAGCTTCCTCTCTTTCTTCTTTGTATAATTAATTAGAAATAAACATAAAACATATATCAGTCTTAGAAATTTCATGTGATGTCCATTTCAATATAAGTCCTGACTAAAATCTTAAGCAACTAATTTTTTCTTCATGTTACTTTCCCTCTGCATGGTTGAGCAAGAAAACACTGTCTATAGAAGCACAAAAATAGCAATTCATGCTAAAAAAAAAAAAGACTTTCACCTTATTGTAAACCTATCCTCTAAATCAAACCCTACACTTACTAAGATAAGATAAGATAAGATAAGATAAGATAAGATAAGATAAGATAAGATAAGATAAGATAAGATAAGGGAAATCACAGTGTCACAACAGCAAAGTGGACAGTACAAGAAAGAAAAACTGCTTATGGCAGTAACAAACACTTAGGACGATAAATAATAGATAATAACATACAATATATGTACAATTCCAAATTACAGAAATTTACTAATTAGCAATACTACACCTAACACCTCTACCTCTATACCTAACGCAGGCCTACATTCCTGAATATAAATACCTGGCTTCATAATCACGATTTGTCGTCAGTTGTCAATTTTAATAAAAATACATTATTAGCGGGTAAACTACATCAGAACCATCAGAACGAGCACAATTTCCAAACGCGTTTTACTTAAGGTACCGTACCTACGGGAGTCAAAGAGGGACAATTCCGTGTTGCTGCCGGAGAGGAAAGCTTAGCTAACCATCTTTCCCAGAACATGGCAGCACATCTGAAAAAGCGAGTTTATGAGGAATTTTCCAAAGTTGTACAGGTGAGCACATGAAGCCCTCTTACTGCTGCTCGCATTAGACTCATAACCCGAGATGAACGACGTGTTTGAGAGCTAACTAACATGCTCACGCTAATGCTAAATGGCTAACGAACATAACAACAGCCAGCCGCTCACAGTCACAACACAGCACTGATGACCTCTGTGATCTTTCAACAAAATAAAAACAGTTGTTTGACAGCTGTAGATATAAGCAGGCCTGTTGACTTGTTAATTTGACTAAACTAACCTGAACAGCAGTGAGCTAACAGCCTCGGGAAGGAATATGTTAGTCAATATTCATGTTAGCTACCTTTACAGAGTGAGCGATTTCTTGTTACAAAGTCTTAATTGACAGGTGCACACCACGCCTGTAAACCTGTAAAAGTGAATGGCCGGTTGTTGTTTTCTGACTCAGTAACTTAAACATGAGATTTATTAGTTATCCTCTTCCTAGCCATTGCTGTCAATATCCGTCCTTAACTGATCTGGTCAGTGTTTACAGAAATATTTTTAATTATATTTTTTATTATTATTATGAAATAAAAAATATTGTTTATTAAATTATTATCTGATGTGACCTTTCCATGTTAGTGAAGTCACTTCAAAACAAAAGATTGCATCAATTTGCCATATGTCTAAGTTTTGGATTATTACATCATAGTGAAACTTACAGTATTATGTTAAAGATGTTAATATTTCAATGCTTTTGCATGCTGACAGATTCCCCATGAAGAAACTCCGGCCAAGAAGTTACGTCTGTCCAAACCCAGTAAATCTGCAGCTCTGCACATTGACCTCTGTAAGGCCACAAACTCCACTGATGCCCTGCAGTACCTGCTGCAGTTTGCACGCAAGCCTGTGGAGGCAGAGAGTGTGGAGGGTGTGATCCGAATCCTGTTGGAGCACTACTACAAGGTAAAGAACTACTGAGAGCTTAAGAAATATAAAGATAATCTCTGCATAGTTGTAAAAAAAAATAGCTCTGATGTGCTCATAAATAGTCTATAGTACCTTTTATTGAAACTGTGTTTCACATGAAGGAGATAAAACTATGCTCTATAAAGGTTTTACACTATTTATAATGTCTTAAAGTTAACGTGTTCAGTCTAAGCTGAAGTGAACAGACAAAACACATCTGATGTCCATGATGTTGTCTTCTTCCAGGAGACAGATAATTCGGTGAGGCTGAAGATTGCCTCTCTGCTGGGTCTGCTGTCCAAAACACAGGGCTTCAGCCCCGACTGCATCGTTGACGACAGCATTAACACACTCAGCAATGAGAGTAAGATGCATTTACAGTCTGAACCTTGGGTTTTTTTACTCACTTATTTACACATATTCACATTAGATTCTCTGTCATTCTGTTTTTTTTCTTCACTTTTACAGTCAATAAACCATAATTACACTTTATTAGATTGTTTGTTAGTAACTTTAACTGAGAAAGAGATTTCTTACGGTCTTCACTGAGCAATGCCCACGCAGTGTTTGTGAAAACATATTAATGATTCATAAATTGCATCAATGTTGCTAAGCAGTATTATTGTTCCTGTGCACTGAGCAGTGTAACAAACATGTCAGAAAGGGTTTTAAGTTTCAGTGGAAACCTCACATTCATCTTTAGCAAAGCACTAAAAACATTTAATCTAAAATTACATTTATTCAAAACATTTGATCTCCCCACTAAAAAAAAAACACAAACTCTAATAGTTGCTCTGTTCTGCTTCTCTCTGTGTCTGCAGAGTCCCATCAGGTCCTTGCGCAGCTGCTGGACACTCTGCTGGTTATTGGTACACAACTACCTGAGAGTCCCACAGTCCGACAAAGGCTCATAGAGGTGGCCTGCAAGGTGACGAACGCACGCACATGTACAGTACTCATTAAGTGTTTGCTCAACACAGACTAAACGTGAGTCTCTGCGCAGAGCAGTGAAACAGGTTTGTATTTTTTCTCTTTCTTCCCCTCAGCACCTGTCTGATACATACTTCGGGGTGAGGAACAAGTGTCTGCAGCTCCTGGGATGTCTCGGCATTGTGGAGAGTCCTCTGAACAAAGACGAAGGACTGGGCACATCGATAGGTGTGGGCCATTTCTTAATTTAATTAGATGGCTGAATTCTGACTCTGACTTTCTTAATGTTTGGGTACAATGCGGGAATGCTTTCAAACTGAATCATGTGTCCTCAGTGCCTTAAATTGTTTCAAATATAGAGAGGATTGTATGTAAAAATTGTTTTTCTTTGATTTTTTTCCTTTTTGTGGCAGAATTGATCGTAAATAATATTAATTGTTTGCGATTATAGTTGAGTTCACTCAAAATTAACTCTCAAATCTTATGAAAACTCACATTTATGAGTTGTGATCAAAGCTTTGAGTTGTTGTGTGATGTGTTAGCATGGTTTTGTTGGGATGTGTATTTTACATGTTGCTTGGTGCACCAGGAGGAGTGAGGGACGTCCAGAGTATCATCAGTGACTACTTTGGTGACCAGGACCCCAGAGTCCGCACTGCAGCCATCAAAGCCATGGTAGGGCACCGCCAACACCTGCACTTACCAACAACTAACCAGCACCACATTCATGTATTTAGGGAACTCAAACAATGCAATTACAGTCATCAGTGAAAGGGTGGGAGGGTGGTTTTCTTAAAATAATTATTAAATAAACCATCTGATACAGTGCTCCACTGCAAATGTTTTAAATACAGAGTCTTTTGTGACAAATAATTAAATAATATACACAGCTCCATTACTTCAGGTCCTGTCAAACAAGTAACAACCCTTATCCACTTCACCGGAGTCAGTGAGGGTTGATGACATACTGTGATTGGCCAACGACTCAACCCATTTGAAATTGTTTTAAAAAAAAAAAACAACAACAAAAAAAGCAACTGTATATGTGCTGGTCAGTGTTGATATAGTGGTGGGCTGCCTCAGATAAATCAATGTATGGGAAACACTGGATTCTTTGTGTATAACTCAGCTCATTGTGTGTGTTGATTGTTCTCCAGCTGCAGCTGCATGAGAGAGGAATGAAGATCCATCAGATCATTTATGACCAGGTAACAGCACTGTTTAATGTTTAGACCTGTGTGTTCAGGTAACATGTTGGATATAGTTCAATTTTTATGATGTGTTCCTGTGCCTGTGCTATTACAAGACAGATCTACAAGACAGATCTGTGGCTGAATAATAATAAAAAAAAAATCATAATAACAACAAGTGTCTGCCATGAGGAAGGTGTGGATTACTGTTAATTATAAGGGAAGGATAAGGATAGAATTAGCAGACAATCACAGCTACAGTGGATGTATGACTAGTGCAAATGTGTAGTTAATGTATCTGTGTGTGTGTGTGAACATATTTGAGAATTGTAAATGTAATTGGCAGATTCAAGTGAACTGTTGGAAATGTGTTTGCAGGCCTGCAGGTTGCTGTCAGATGATTATGAGCAGGTCCGTTCTGCGGCGGTGCAGATGGTTTGGGTGCTCAGCCAGCTGTACCCAGAGAGGTGAGAAGACCGTGACATTCAGAGTGACTTACTGTCGGTGTAGGTGTAGATTTAGCTGCACTCTCTCAGCATTGTAACAACAGCGACAGCAGGGAAGCTGAGTACTAACCACTCATGTCTGTAACACTTGTTTCTGCCCAAGTGTTCTTCAGTCAGACACTGAAAACTTTGTATTATGTTAAATTGTGCTCCTGTGATGCTACAGCTTATTGCCTTGATAATATTTGCTATGTTGCTTGCTGATATTTTGATTTGGTTAGCTGGTTACGTGAATGCTGAAGGTTACCAAAAATAAGTGA